CCGAAGTGGGTTCAACATAACCCGATCCTCGACCTTTAAGCTGAACCTTCGCACCCGTCTCTTGTTGAATATGCTTTACATAAGCACCTTGTGGGCCAACGATTTTAGCTCGTGCATTAAATGTGCGGTCAGGTTCAATTCCTACAAATACTTTGTCTTGAACAAACTGCCGCTATAAAACATAAGTTAATGTAATATTCTAATGGAAATTTTCGATTTTAAAGCAACATAAGACTTAATAAATACCCCTAAGTGCTGTCCTGGTGGACGTGGTGTTGGTGTCGATGGAGCTGGTGTAAAAGTCTGTTCCATGAGCTCACTAATTTTATTGATAGCAGCATTTAAAGCCTCCTTAGTTGATGCAGTCACGTGTAAATAAAGAGGAGGATCCTTTTCGGTAGCAAGAAGCTTGTCTGGATAGTACTTTCCTCGTGTCGTTACATCTGTCAATAATATATATGTCTCGGTTTAGATTATTTGTCATAAACAATTAAGAATATCTTAGAAATCAATGTTGCACCTGCACCAGTTTCTTTTTGAATCTGTAATTAAATTAGAAGACATACATTAGTATATGGTAAAAGAAAAAATAGATAATGTAAGATTGTTGGCAATAAAATATTTTATACCTGCTGTTGTGTTGCACCCTTAGTCAACAAATATCTGTTTTTGCAATCATTGATTGTAATATCATGAGTAAATTCCAAATCAGAATCTTTCTTAGACGCTTTAGAATCCTTTACAGGTTACGTCATGATAACGAAATAAAAATCACGACCACAGGGTTAATTAAATGACAAGACAAAACAAACGCGACTTAAAATATACCTCCGAACTGCCGTTTTCAGAAATATCTAGTTTAGGTGTGATTATTAACGGCTTTGCTGGAACCTGAATACCTTTTGCCGCAAGCATAGCATTGATTTTTGCCGCTGCAACGGCTATTAATGCAAAAGAATTAATAATATAAATATTAGATCCAATCTTAGATATAGTATAATTATGATGTTTACTACCTGCAGCTACATTGGGATCTATTGATTCAGAGTTTGAAGGTGTAGGTGAGGGCGCACTAGATTCAGATGCATCACTACTAGGATCAACTTTGGCCGATTTTGAGGCCGTAGAAACGGGTGGTGCCTCTTTTCCTTGGTCATCAAGATCCCATTTACGTTTCCGACTGACAACGACAATTCATTTTTAGGATTAGTAAAAACTGTTGAAAAGTGAAGAAATCCTCTCATATGACAATTAAACCTACGTTTTATTTTGTGTAGACATTGTGATTTTAAAAAAAACTACAGAGAGTATCAGACGAACGTATTAAAATGTCCCGACTACAAGTATTGCCCAGTATATAGTGTTTATAATTGATTACATTTCGCAATCACATGTTAAATTCACAAATTTATCTAGCGTGGCGCAGTGTCCAAATTATACTAGAGTTATAGAAGGTTCAGCTCAGGACGGCCTAATTGAAGTTATATTAGTATTATATGTGTGGTCGAAGCTATTTCAGTTTATTCGAAATTGGTTACGACATAGTCATAACGGTAATAGTTTTGACACAAACCCGAAATAAATTCAGACACGTATCGATTATATTGGCCCCAAGCTTCAGGTCAGATGACCAACACTTGGAAGGCTAGCTCGGTCTGCAAACTTTTGGCGTGACGTTGATTTTCTGGCGTACGTACGTTAATAACGTTGAGTTCGTGATAAAAATCGCATTTTTGATTTTGTTATTATTAATATTAAAATCACATTTTTATACAGAGGACACCTTAAACCAACGACTTTTTTAAAGTGGCTAAATTTTATGTTTTGATATATGTTGCAAGTGGGAACGGAATTTAAGTGGATTCGGAATTTCTTTATAA